CTACATATTATTGTTTAAAAAGAGCACACGGTGATCCTATCATACTATTAATTTTACATCCTATTACATGAAATGTATAGGATAAAGCAGTGGGGAAAAAATCAGCAAATCATATAGACAAGAACTTTTTTTCAATTTTTCATGGGAATATTTTTTAACAATCTGTGCATAATTTGCACATGAAAGAATAAATATATATCACCAGGCAGCTACGAGTCACTGAGGTTTCATCAGATGCACAATGAAGGCTGCCAAATCTCATCTGCAAAAAAACTCAAGACAGCTGCTAGATGGTAGATAGCAATAAAGACAGAAATAAAGTCTTTGCATCCAGATCTGATAGCTCTAATTCATGACAAAGACTTGTCCTCACAAAATGTGAAGCTGCAGTGAGTTAAAAAAATATGTTTTTTCCCCTTTAATGTTAGACTCAAACCCCACTTGTCCCAAAACAGGAAGGAAAATCTGAAAGCAGAAGGAAGTTTCTGAATATCAAATCCCTTACTAGAATAAAAACAGTCTATGGACGTTGCCTAACCCTAACCCATATCTAAATCACATGTGCTCTTTGGCAAGGAGGATTTGATACTCTTCCAGGATCAGGGCTTACAGAAACAACCCAACTGTTGAAGCTATGACCATTTATTCCCCATCTGCCCACCACCACCACCCAAGTCAAATGGGACAGGAACCTAGCCGATGCTAGAGGAAATGTCTCTGAGCACAGTTGTCAATTTACATTTCATTGCCTATCTTTTCCCAAACACTGAAAATCTTCCCAGCACTCTAATGCTACATTTTTCCTAACATCTGAAAAGATAAGTCAATATCATCAACTTTCCATGATTGACTATGAGATTTAGAGAAAGCAATTTTTCCTTAAGGCCTACATATGTATTTATAGTCGAGATAAGGTAGAAAGCCAGGATATTATTAACTTTATACTATATTACTGTTACAATATTCATACAGTCTCTCTCTCTCTCTCTCTCCCTCCCTCCCTCTCTCTATACATACATACATACATACATACATACATACATACATACANAGGAGATCACATGATCCCAGGACATGGCAACAGTCACAAATATGAGTCAGTTGCCAAGCATTTGAATTTTGATCACATACCAGGGGGATGTTGCAACAGTTGGGTGACAAATGGTCATAAGTCACTTTTTTCAGTACTGTTGTAACTTTGAAAGGTCACTAAATGAACCATTGTAAGTTGAGGACTATCTGTGTGTGCATGTGTATGCACACCAGTGGTGGGTTGCAGGTGGTAGGCCCCGGGACGGGTGTACCGGAGCCTGCCCGGAGGACCAGATATCATTCCGGTATGGTGCTGCGGAGGGCCCACCCGCCCGCCCAAGCTCCTTACCTGTCTTTTAAGGCTTCTGCACCTATGCGCACGTGCATGGCACATACATCACCTGCACGATGCTCCGCAGAGCAGCTGGAGCATTGCAGAGGCTCGCGGAGGTGCTAAGATGCATGTGCGCGCTTCACACGTCCATGTGGATGCCACTGGGCCCATTCCAACCATACAGGTTGGAATGGGATCCGGAATCCACCACTGATGCACACACACACACGTGTGTGTAATGCAACCTGACACAAAGTATTTGTACCCAAATTCATACATCATAGTACTATTAGCATGGTACTGAGCCATTGTGCTCTAGAAAAAAAATTCAAAAGATCTGAAGGAATGAGAAAGCCTAGATAGCTGCCGAAGGGTCAAGATTTAATTGTAGGCAACGTTCAGTAAGTAAAAATAGTTGAAAAGTTCTTCCTATGGAATTTACAGATATGTGAAACTGCTTTGCTAAGTGCTAAATCACTACCTATTTACTAACTCACAAAGGTCACAGCTTTAATGGAAAAAAATTGTTCTAAAGATTTCACAACAAATCAACTAATTAGAAGACCACTGATGAGAGAATACTAGATCTTTGTGATCCCTGTTCCTATTCTGGCACCTTAATCACTACACCATGCTGTCATGGCTTTTGATTTCATTTTTATTAATTATTTCATTATCTTTATCTATAAATGGAAATGGATTGAATTTTTTAATGATAGAATTTCTTTGTTCTGCTCAGCCTGAGTCCAGTTTCAAACCATCGAGTAATTCAAGCTAAAACTATATTTTGATTTTGTATGCTAACTGATCTTCTAACTAATATATCTCTAAACTTCAAATCAACTCTAAAATTAATCCAAGTTTCATTTTATTTCCTAGTCTAACCCAATCCACTCTGATGGCTAATTTATGTTTTCAGGGAGGAAAATCTTCCTTTTCTCCTCTCTTCATCTTATTGTTCTATCATCTCAGAGAAATCCTGTTTTGCACTCCCAAAAGTCAGTCTCCTCCTCTTCTGAGTGCAAAGCCTGGACTTGTACAAGATGTTTTTGACCCAAAGACTTATTATTTCCTTTCCCATTCTTTTACACGAACTTGGTCTCTTTGAGAACTGCTTTTTCTGAATCAGAATGTAGAGGTCAAGCAAGGAAGTCAAGAAATGACTCTAGGGAACTATGGAAATAAGTACACATTTCTTAAATCAAAAATAGCGACAAAGCAAAATTTTAAATATCCCAATTTCCTAGCTTCCTTCCCTGCTTACTGTTTTTATCATAGTAATCATGTCTAAAAAAGGAATCATTTTTCAGTCTTTTCATTCCAAAGGCTACTTTTGGACAGAATCAGCTATATAGTCCATGAGAACTATCATGACCACCATGATATAGAGTTGAGTAGAGTAGAGTAGAGTAGAGTAGAGTAGAGTAGAGTAGAGTAGAGTAGAGTAGA